TCCCTGCCCATTTCTCCAGCCTGTCCAGGTAGCGCTTTTTTTGTTTTGTTTAATATATTTTTTTATTTATGTGGTTTATAGGTTATGGAGGCTTTACGTGTGACTTAAAGTTCTCCTCTGCCAGAGTTACTGATGAACCGAAGCCCGCTTTAACCATACTAATGACTCCTTACTGAAATAATACATGTACTGGCATCCAATAACTTAAATATTGCTATTTGCAAATAGTCCTGAACTGATTTGGTCTCTATGTTATTTCTAACTTAATGGTTCACCCTGATCTGTTTGCCAGTTTAGCTATCAGCTGCTTAACAGGAATGTTTTATTTGTGTTCACTTAGAAAGTGGGAAGTCCAGTGCCAGCTGTCTCATGCCAGCACAGCATGTGCTGTCCTTTCAGCCAAATAGACACAGCTTAATGGCTAACAAGTTGAACATTGGTATGGTCATGAATGTTTTCCATGAATGCCTCTGCAGGTAGGGCAGCAGCAAATGGAAAGCCAAGCTCAAGAAAAAAACAATGGCATCTTTGGAGTCTTAAAAATTAATAGTAAAAAATGTAAATAGGGGAGAGGATAACATTTTGTTATTGGTAGCTACCCTTGCGCCAACACATACTTACCAGGAAGTTTTAGGTGGCTGTTTGTCAAACACAGGGGGGACATAACTCCCCCCTGCCTCAGTGTTTTCCTTCCATTTCTGACTTCATTGCATTTCTTTTTATGGGGACTCATGTCATTTTCTCTTCCACCTTCTCTCTCTCCATCCCACTGCATGCCTCTTTCCTTGGCCTGACCTCAGAGAGGAAGAAGAGTATGAAGAGGAAGAAGAAGAGCAGCCAATCACAGAGCCCAATACTGAGGATGAGGGGGAGGAAGAGGCCAGTAGGCAGGTCAAAGACAGGTACTGGGATTCAGTGTCATCCCTCCACCTTTCCCTCAGCCTCTGGCATGAACTCACCAGCACAGCGTGCAGCAGCATCTGCCTTTTCACTCACGTTCCTAAATCGCCTGTTAAAGCCACCCTCCCAGGAAATATTTTTGCACTTAAAAGCTTCGTTGGTGGGTGTGGGTGTGTGTGTGTTAATGGAAATATGTTTAATATGTAGGCTCAGTGTGCTGAGAACTGTCTGCATTCACTGCTTTTGTAGAAAATGGGTAACACTCACAATCTTAAACAGATTTAGCAGAAAGCATAACTTCTAAGCATTGCTTAGGTTTATCTTTTTAGTCAAGGCAAAGGTGGAATATCGCAGTGCTTTGCTGAGTTAGGATGTTGCCTGCTTTCTTAGATTTTCATCCCTATTTTCATTATACAATCTTATTACCAGTATCTGTTGCTATGAAGAAGGTCAACATTTTTTGAATGCTGCCTATGATTTCTATCAATTGTGTTCATGTTTTAATAGGAAAGAACTACTTAGAGGCAAAGCTGATAGATATTTATAATTTTATACATACCTGCCTATCGGTGTATATATAGATAAAAAAAAAAACACCTATCAAAACAATATTCTCATGTAAAATTTTCCACTTATTTCTGAGGGATATATGGATTTGGCATTTGGCAACTTCATCCTAGTAAATTGGAAGAAAGAAAATATGTTTTTTCTTCCAGACAGCCATTTGATTTAGGTTAAATCGTTTGGCTTTGCATCTCGGCAAATGAGATTGGATTTTTTTATTATTATTATTTTTTTTAATAAACCACATTCATGCAGACGCTATACAGCATGGAAGGAAGAAAGGAAACTGTTTAATGTGCAAATTCCAAAGAAAATACTGTACTGTTGTTATTAATATCTTCCAGTCTGCAAATCTTGCCAATGGCTGCCTGAAATGTCAAAATTAAGTGATAATTTCCTCAAATCCAATTCTTAAAAGTCAAAGCTAAGACACAAGTTATTAGTAAATCGCATGATTATACTAGAATACCCTTTTAAAAAGACAAGGAAGAGCTGTGTAAAGGGCATGATGTGCTTTTAGGTCATCAGTCTTTTAAAACAGCACTGTGAGATAACTGGGTGATATTCCCATGACTTTTCTAGATACTGTGGCATAACAAAAGTGATCCATGCCCTGGCCATTCATGTTAGATGCTTTCAGGAAGGGTAGGGCTAGCCTGGCTTCAGGAACTCCTGTCATGCACAGCGGGTGCAATAGATGAAAGTTTACAGATTGCCCGCTGTGCTCCTGTTGCAAGAGTGATTACCTGGTAGATACCTAATTATTAATTTATTAATATCCTATTATATACAACATGTATTATGTTTTTGTTGCATACTCTATGCCATACTCACACTCCTCAGATAAGGGCCATGCCTTGCATGCCTGTGGGTGGATTGCAGAGGTGGTCTCAGGAGAATGAAATCAGCCACCTGCCGAGTGATCCAGCCCAAAGTCCATGCAGTGTTTATGCTGGAGATACTACTGAAAACAAATATCCCGGAGTGCAGATCCCATGGCTTTTCACCTGCCTTGCTGCTTCTGTCACTCACCAACACCTGCCTTCACTAAAGCAAAGCAGATGTGTTTTCTGTTGCACTTGATACAACTCTGCAAGTCTCTCACACCAACATGGGATGCTGACACTCAGAGAAATCAGTGCCTTCATACCTAGACAAATGATCTGGTAAGGCATTGCTTTTGAAATCATTCTAAACCTTAATTTTAACATAACAGTGCTGATTATTTTTTATATTCATATTTGGTGGATGAGTGTTTTTAGTAAAAATATCATCACCAGGGAGGATGATAATCAGATAACTGGCCTTCAAGAGGCAGTCATGCAAACTGTACCTTGAAGCATCTCTGCTCTGTGGACCACGTTATATAGTGTGTTGAGACTGCTTTGTACTTCTCTGACAATGTTTGCAACCTAACTTGAAATACTTGAAAATTGTTCTGAAAATGGTTGTGAAAAGGTTCATGAAAATTCGTTCTGAAGCCTATGGGATAAATACCTTCCTTTAAGCTGAGTCACTTCCATTCCTCAGTATTTCCAACCCCTAGAAGAATCCCCCCGGATACAAAGATGCCAGTTATTTTACTTTATTTAAAAAGAGCTTATGATTGTCTAAATTTGTGAAGTTTTTGTGTGTCTGACTCTCCTTGACTTTATTTTTTTCTCCTCCAAGCAGTGTTATCTATTCATCTCTCTTTTCCCCATTTTTCTTTCCTTCCCTTTCCTTTCTCATGATGTTTTCCTCCTACAGTGGTGTCCCAGGTGTTCAGGAGGCTGTGAATGAAAACCTTTCATGGTGTTCTGACTCTTCAGCCATCTCCAGTGCCATTTCTCCAGCTGAGAGGCCTCTCTCCTGCTCTAGAGCAAAGAGCTTTTCTAGCAGCTCCTCTTCTGTGCCTGACTCATCTGTCTCTCATCATAATTCTGTCCTTTCATCACCATCTTCACCTGTGGCAGCATTGCTAAGCTCTTCCCAAAATTCATCAGCATCCGTTACTCCGAAGGCATCTCCAACGGTAGAGAGGTTACCTTATGTACCACATACTCCTTTTCACCTCTTCTCATACGACTTTGAAGAGTCTCCAGCATCTGTGAAAGAAAAGGAAGCAGAGGTGATGAGGGAAAACAGGTAGATTTTATACAGCTGACATTAATTTTAAGATCAATGAATAACATCTTTCAAGAGTTTTATAGTGCTAATAACGTACTCTCCCTGTTGTGTTATTTCTAGAACATAACATATTAGTTTTAGTCTGTAAGTCTGTATTTTGATTAGATTTATATTCTTCCCTTGCCTTTGTTGCCTTCATTTCATCTTATTCCTCTTCAGGGTCTATATTTAATAAGTATCTTGGCCTCCTCTATACAGCAATAAATAAATAACCTGGGATTTGGGAGATCACAGTAAGGAGCACCATTTTACTCTCATTTACAACAATGTAATTTGCAGACATGATTTTATGAAAATTAATGGAGCTCTTCTGCTGTAAAACCAAGAGCAATCAGATCAGCACTTGGAATTGAGGGGTGTAATCCTGGCTTCAAAGACTGAACTGCCAAATCCTGAATTTGTTGTTAGATGACAGTGCATATCCCTGTCATGTGCAACTTAAACTCATGCTTGTAATAACAGAAATAGATTAAACCCTATAAAGATAATATAACACTCAGGTGCAGTTTTCCCTCTACAACGTCTGGTCAGTTCAGTTGTCCCTCATGCATTTCTCCTAGTTTTTAATTTTAATTTTTAGTTTCCCCATCCCACCCATTTAAAAACAAAAATAAATTGTTTTGTCTCAGTCTGTTTTCAAGTAAAACAGGCGGACAATAGGTAGCACTAAAAACGATGCTAGAGAATCACCTTGAAAAGAAGGTGGAAATATCACCCAGTTATCTCTTGATGGTCAATGTTCTTTGAATTAGGTGCTGAAAATGTGGGTGTATATTGTGAGCGTATCTATTTCTTTCTTTCTCCTGCAGTCATGAATTTCTGCATGTGAAAAAATATTTTTATTCCTTTGATACTTTTAATTTTTGATCTTTTTCTTCTAATAGGTGGGTGGGTTTTCTTGCTTTTTCATTTTGCTGAAAAGTCTTTAAATCCAAGTAGCTGTTGAAAAGGGACTCAGTTCACATGTCTCCTTACTTGCAGCTTGAACACTGGGATCCTCTAAATTTACATTTTCCTGCATAGGTGCAATTTTTCCTTAGGCCTCTCACACTTATTTATTGCTCTCTCATTGTTGCTGCTGTTAGAGTTATACTTTTTAGAGAGCAGATTCCCAAATACCTTCTGTTCCTGCAATATTTAGTATTTCTGCAGAGATTTCTTTTCCTCTGACCATCCTTACGCTTCTAGTTGCCACATAGGATCAAGGCCATGGTGTGTGGGAGGATTATGCTGGGTTTATTTGGAGAAAAAGGAGGGCAAAGCTTGCATGATTTGGGTAGTAATGTGTTCACAGAAGAGTTCAGTGTCTGGGTTTTCTTCAGAGTGAAGGCTTCTGGGACAAGGCTGTTGCATCTGCAATTGGTATATGAGACAGAAGGGAAAATGCATTGTGTACAGGATACAGACTTACCCTGGTGTGCTGCTTTTGCCTTGCTGCTCTTCCAGCATCTCTGGCTCCCTCTAAATTTGGTATATAAGGATGCTGTGTCCAGGCCAGTCCCTCTGTAGCTTGATTTTGTAAATACTGTAGGTCTGAATCCACGGAAGGTGTGTTCTCTCCATTTTAATGAGTTATCTTTGGACTAATTGAAATTCTTTAGTCTGAAAAAGGATTCTGCACTCAGCTTTTTCATGGAGCAGAGGAGAAGAAAAGCAAATGTAATCGTTGATAAGAAGGTCTCCTTTCAGTTGTTTGAAATGGAACTGGAGGTTTCTATTAGTGTCAGGAACATACCGAATGAGTTCTGACTTGTTCTCAGGACAATGGAGTTTTCTCATCACTCACTCAGTACAGGCACAGGCAGAACATTTGCTGAGCTGAGACTGCTGGAGAGAAGACCCCTGCCAGGTCTGTGCTACCAGGGAAGCCCTGCACTGCCCAGCTACACAGTCCTCCCATCGTGCCACTGTCTCCAGTTTCTAGTTAGTTTTCTGTAGGGCAGGATTGCTAGGGAGCCAATTATCTCCCATTCTGCAAAATTCCTTTGGTAGCTTAGAAGCATGCACATTTGCATTTTTTTCTGCCATTATTCCCCTGTTTCTGAGTGATCAGCATGGTATCTCAAAAATAGATGATGGTGTTGGTGGGGTGTTTCCTAAAACATAAATCTGGAATTGTTACCAAAGGGGGAAGAAGCAGGCATGTTCTCTAAAACATGATTCCTTCCATTATAAAAACCCCTAACTGAAATTTATTCTGATTTTAACATGGGCCTTGGCAGGCAGCAATGCTGTTGTACCCTAAGGAATGAAGCTTGAAACTCTGGATGAAATTTTGCGTGACTAGACGAGTGTGCTAAATGGAACTGAAGGAAACCAACCAGCCTTTTCAAATAAAATTGCTGAGTGAAGTTACTGAGTTCTGATGTGTGTGGGAGAAGCAGCAGCAGAGAAAAGATACAGTGAATGAGAGTATATTATATCTTATGAATTATAATAAGGAAAATGATGTTGCCATTTTTCCTGAAGTGAATTTTGTCATTTGGATGAGTTGGCCTTGTGGACTACTCACCTACAGAACATCATACACTTCCCATGTGGGAAAATGGTATCATGTATGAACAAAAATGTAAACATTTCCAAAATCAGGAATCTCTCCTTGACATGCTGTTTAAGTACAATGGTTAAAAGGCACAGCAAAGCAACACAACTGCCCTTTCTATTCAGTGCAGAAGCCAGGATGAAGACACTGATACAAGGGACTTTAGGGAGGTGGCCATTCCAGGAGTCCTGGAAGCAAGTTCATTTTGATTAGCAAGCTCACATCAAAGTCAAGCAGGTTTTAGGGGTTTTTTTAATGGAGTGGCTGGTAGAAATTCCTGAAGCCATGCTTCTGAAGACATCTTTTTAACAACCATGGTGACAATTTTTTACAGACATTGTGAGAAATGGCACATAAGCTATGACTTATGTTGAGGGAGGGGAAAGAAATTACCACCTGCTTTAATTAAAAAGGATGTGTATGTTTTTCATTTATAATGCAAACATTTGCAAAACATGGACATCCATGTTCAGACCATGTCTTGGGAAAATTGCTGTTTTACTTAATTTCATTAGATAAGAATACTGCTGACTTACACCGGTTTGGTCCCTTTTCTAATGGCTGGATATCAGCTCCCAAACCAGCTAATAAATTTGAGTAACATTAATGTAAGTATTCCTGTTCCAAGTTGTCACTTGGGAGTACCATTCTAATCTCTTATTTTCTATACCAGTAGCTGACTTTGAATCAAGTATGTCCATGACATGGTTGACATTGAAATGAGATTATAGGTTGCATATTTTGAAGCTGGGATTAAAGCAATATATTCAGAAGGTGGGTGTTTGAGAAGTTCTGGGGTATGGTATCACGACCATCCCCTAAATAAGAGGAATTACTGTTGCATGCCTGCTTGCTGATGGATTCCTTCTCTCTCCCTTTCTCCTGCTTTCCTTCCCATTGCTTCAGATACAATAGCTACGGCAGCAGCTCTTACTCTTCTCCACGACCTTACTCTGGTGTGAGTGCCCCAACAACTCCCACTTCTCGTTATGGGACAACTCTGTCACCGCCACAAGAGACCAAATCTGACAGGTTGGTAAATTAATCACTTTTTAAACTACAGTTCCTTTCTAGACAGGATGAAGGAGATAAGTGTAAGGTCTTCTGAATGAGTACTGGAAATATCTTGTGGCCAGATCTTTTCTAACTTTGGAAAGAGAACATACAAAAATCTAGACATGTTCATTTCCCACTCGTTGTCAAGCCTTTCTCTAACTTGATGTTAAGGGCTGGATGTACTTCCATCCCACTTCTACTTCCACTTAAATGGATAAAACAGTCTTGCTTTACACGTATGCTCTTCTAAGTATTAAAAGGTGAATTGAAGCACATTTTATTTTTTCCATTTTTTATAATAAATTCAGAAAGATCTATTTTCACTTCTGTCATCTTAAATCAACTATAAAATCTTAGAAATGTGCTTAGCTCAGAATTTCCTAGGCCATAATTTTGTCCTTCTTCGAAAATGCATGATATATCTCATTGTTTTTCATCAAGGGCAAAAAGTTTCCTGCTGTAGGTAAAGGAAACTCATACTAACCTACCAGTTATCAGCTCACTTTAAAAAAAAAAAAATACCCACACCAGCAACAAAAAAAAGCAGTATTTTGAATAAAATATTCTTTTGAATTACGTAAGGTATTAGGAAAAGAAAAAAAGATAGGAAAATGTTATGGATACATGAAAGAAATTATTGGCAAGAGATGTGGACCACCAGAAATTAACTGACTGCAACAACCTGAAAGTAAATGACAGCTTCAAAGGATGTCATGCTGAGTTAAGGAGGAAACATATAAGTCTTTAATTAATTTCATTAAATAATTTAATATAATAAAATAATTAAATCCTTTCCAATTAGTCCAGATGGGCTTTGGATTGTTTGTTGCCAGATTTAGTTAAAATTCCATCTCCCTTCCTTTTTGATCTGAAGACTTTTTCAGGATCTTTTGTCTATTTTCCAATTAATTTTTTAAATTATTTTTTTAATATTTCTGTATATATATATAAATACATGTATATATGTTTTATGTGTGTATGTATATATGTTTGAACCTATCTAATGCCTCACATCCCTTCCAGTCTACTGCTCAGAATGGTTCAAGTTAGTTTCTTCCAGCATGCATGTATTTCTAGCTGTGAGGTATTGATTTAATCCTCTTTTTCAAGTGAGTAATTACATTAAGTTTATATTTGGAGAAAGCCACCATTTTTCATTTGCTCATCTTCCTAGAGTAACTTGCCTCGATTTGTCTGTCCTAATCTGAATTAAATGATTGCTGAATGGAACCGTAATAAAAAACTCCAAGCCAGCATTTTCACCCCCTTTTACCTTAGCAGAATAGGTAGAAGATAAGCGAGAATTAAAGGTACCCTGCTGCTTTTGAAGTTTCAGCTTTCTAAGCCCCTGCTGTTGGAAGCTTCTGGTTGCTACTGCAGCAAAGAAACCTCAAAGTGGTCAAACTCTGAGATGGCCAAAGATAGTTGGCCTGTCCTGCAAGAGGTTGATCATGCTGGCCCTGCTCCAGTAAAGGAAGCAAGCTTTCATTGCGGCATGCGCGTTAAGTGCGTTGCTGGTTTGGAGCCAAAATGCCTTGGCCCCACAGGATGAAGCTGTAAAATTCGCAGATTCATGGAGAGTCAGGCCAGGGGGAAGCTCTGTAATCATCTGTTGTGACCTGTAATGGGTCTCACAGAAGCTAAATGAAAGCCCTCTGTACCTTCATATGTTTTCAAGTGACAGCACATGATTTCTCCTGGAAAACATTCCAGTATTTATCATCACTGCTCGGAAAACATTTCATATTTTGGAGGCCAGTTCATCTAGCAGCATCTTCCAGCGATTACACCTTGTTCTGTGAAACTGGAAAGTGCTCTGCTTTCAACTATCAGATCTTTCTTACATGTTTTAAGTGTCTGAACACAGTGCTTGGAGTTGCATCTCTGTCTTTCCTTCAGGATACATTTGCTGCTTTTCACTTCACATGATAAAAATCTCTCTCAGCTTGTTTAAATTTGCAGCTTGCTATTTATGGTCGTTGAACTCACCAGGATTTCTGCATTCATACATTTGAGGGTTGTTGCAGCCTGATGCTTTTTGTATATTAGTCTCTAAGAAGTGTGAAAAATGTGTGTATGCCACAGCTGCATGTTGCCTGCTGAATAGATGCAGTTATTTCTTGAAAGATAATTAAATTTACAGGTTTAGATGCCGTTTTGCATCGTCTTGTTCTTTTTAAGTGCGCTACCATTGCAGATGTATAGTTCAGCAGTCTCTAATGGTGTGGATGCTTTGAAGAAGGGCAGAAGCCTGCTTTTATTTAATTTTCCTGAAAGATATGGGTTGCAGAAATGCCCATGTAGAGATCAATGGATACAAATTTGCTCGCTGGAGAGTAGGCTGTGTAGTGCATGATGCCACACATGCTAATTAGTAAGTGCAAAGTATTGTGGAAGTTTTCACAGTCTTCTGTCAATTGTGTTTGCCTTAGATTATGTAAACATTATTTCCTACCTCCTGATGGTAAAAATTTTCATGGATCCAAACACAAAAAAAAAGTTAAAAGTTGAGGGGGAGAGAGGAAGACACTTGATAAGAAGCAGATGCGTATCTATGGTTAGCTCCAAGGTGAGTTTTCTGCTTTTAGCTTGTGGTTACAGTTATCCAAGGACTCCACAGAAAGACCCCTGTCTTTTATCATGCAGGGAAGAGCTTCAGATGCAGTTCCTGGTACTGTTTATCTGACCTTCGAGAATGAGGAGGAAGGAGGAAGCCGCATTTAGAGCAGTGCCCAGCAAAATGATTCATGCTCCATTCAGTTACCCTGACAGGCCTTTCAAACCCTTGGCTGCATTTTGCTTATGAAAACAAGAGCTACAGCTTAGGTGGAAAGAAGCAGTGTGGATAACATTTTGACATTCATACTTTTTAAAACCCTCCTTGGCTAAGATCAGTGGGGAATCCAGAAGAGCAGTGTAATTCAGTACAGAAGTAACTAGATTTTTTTCTTTGAAATCCACATAATGTATATATTTCTGATTGTACAGCAGAAGAAAAGGCTTACTTGACTGCTTCTCAGTTTCTAAATTCAGCTGCAACCTTTTGCCAACTTCTTGCAATGCTGTTCTTTCTCATTTCTCTGGGTCCCCTGTGGAGAGCCATGCTTCTGAAGTGCATATTGCAGCCATGAACTGAAGAAGGGCAAATTGCAGGGCACTTTCTGTTCAGTCCTTCATTGAGAGAGAAGAAAGGGTGTATTGATTCTCTCATATCTGTCTGCTTGGTCACTCCTAATGCAGAAGCAGTATAACCCAATCCTTCTGTTTTCAGCTGCTAAAGACTGCTTTGCTCCATAAATATACTGCTCTGACTCTGCATGACTTAAATCACCAATTAGCTCTCTCTCTCTCATTCCCAAAGGAAAAAATAAATTTATCGATCTCAATTTCTTAACCTCATAAATTTTGGTAACAAAGGGGAAGAGTAAGGCGTGGATGGAGCGCACCAGGGAGAAAAGCATTTTTCTGTACCTCTGAGTTGCCGCCTTGCCTGGGGAAAGAAGGTGTGTAAGACTTTCCTATTTTCCCATGCCTTGTGATTACACCTAGAATATTTCTGTTTAGGCAAAGGTTGCCTCCTCAGACTTTGAATCTAAAATGGTCACTGAAATTGAAAGCTGCAGCCTGGAATTTGTAGCTGGACAATAAACTCATTACTTGCAAAGCTTCACACCCTCTCGTAGTGTGTTTTTGATGGTGAAGTGTGTATGTTGTTGGTCACGGCCATAGTTAGGTGAGACCCTAAAAAAGTCTAACTTCTAAGGCAAGAGCTCCTGAATTTGGCATCAGCTTTAATTCATTCCATTGCCAGAAAAATATCCTATGTTTCCTGCTGGTGTGTTTGGCAAGGTAGGTTTCTTCTGATGCATTTGCCAAGAGATGGTTCCTGCTGGGCTTGATAGTCAAACAGTAGTGCAGTGAGCCTACCTCAAAAAGCCTTCTTCTCAGGGCACTGTGTGCCAAGAGCGTAGGAGTTCATGGCCCCCGTTCTCTTCCTTCTGTGTATTAAATCAAGTGCCAGAAAGTTCAGCTTGCAAACCTGCATTTCTGGATCCTCTTGGCCAGTCAGTGTGAACTTACTCTCCAGCTCTGGCTACTCCCTCTGAGATTCCTCCAAATCTCCAAGCTTGGTAAGGGCCTGCTGTGGTGTTAGCAAATTATTCCTGTTTGATATTCTCTCCAACTTTTCCAAACCATTGGAAAATAGACTTCAGAAAGAGTAAATGTGTTTCACGTCCCTTAACCTGCTTTCTGTCGTACCTTGGGCTCGGTGATGCAGGGCATTGAACGTTAAACGTTCATCTGCATGTTCTTATATACCTTTTAAAGGAAATGTACCTTCATGCATTTATTTCTGCAACGGGTGCACACAGACACTTAGACACTGATTTTAAAGACACTTTAAACACCATACCTGAAGTGTAAACAAGAAATGCAGAAAAAGTGTGCAAATACTCTTCTTTTAAGTTTTATTCCCTCTCCAGGTGCCTGAAACAATAATTTCCTGGCAATCTGATGCTTTTTTCAAGTTTGTGTCACTTAAAAGCAAAACAAAACAAGCCTGCTTGAGAATGCTAACTAGCTTTTAAGTTAGACTTTCTACTAAAATGAAAGGTCTCTGTAATTGACAGTACCAGGGAGCTGCTGCTGGATGAAGCTTCTTGGCAGGTTCTTTTTTTTTTTTTTTTTTAATTTGTCATTAGCCATCTATCACTGATCAGCACTCCAGAGTTGCTTTACTTCAGCTGTTAAGCACTAAGGAAAAACAAGAAACCTGTGAAACAAAACCCACTATACAGCCTACAAAGCTGTTACTCTCCCAGGAACAGCTCCTTTTTCCTTGTATTTCTGTTCTTTCTGCTTCTGCCATCTTCTGTGTGTCTTAATACGTACTTTTGAGATCTCAGACCAGAGAGAGTGGCTATTTTCTCTTGTGGTAAATGCCAAGCACATCTTTCGCTCTGAGTAACATAATG